AAAAAATACTTATATGTAGTTATATACTTGATTTAAATCAATTTACATAATAATAAAATAAAAATACCACATTTGTCACAAAAATTACTATTTTAACCACCTTTGAAGCTTAAGACATTTTGATTGCACGTAAAAAATTACAATATGTTTGGTGATTTAAAAAGTGTAGTTAGTATTTATATAAAGTTGCATCTGAGAGTTAAAGTAAAAAAATATAAGAAAATTTTTATAATAATTTTTTTTGTAAAAGTGTTGTAATATAAAAAAAGAGTGTTGGAATGTGTAAACAAAACTAAAAAAAAATAGAATTTCATTAAAGATTTGACATGACATTTGAAAAAAATCACGTTATATTATACAGCTGTTTTGTGTAATTTATTGGTTGATCAATTTTTAATTAATGATCGACACGTGATCTGACATGACCACTGATTGATATATATCATAACCTTTTACAAATGATAAATAATATATGATATATATAATATGACATGACAAAAAAACTTTTTCTCATTGGATTTTATCTAAAATTTTTATGTAAAAAATGTGTATATTTAAGAATGATCACAGCTTAGCTTACTAGCAAAAAACAAAAATTCCCTTTACAAATTTTTTCTTTTTTTTATTTTCCATACTTTTATTTAAAAAATAGTCTATTATTAGTCCAAACAGTGATATTTTTTTATTAAAATATTTTTTTTGCTATTTCTCTCAGCTATTTTTTTTGTTTATTTCCTTTTTTTATCTATAAAAAATAAGTATCAACGAATGTTTAAAATGAAGATTAGAATTAACATAATTTTGAGTATAAATAAATTTTACATAATAATTATACAATTACTTTTATAAATAACAATACTCTTTTAAAAATCTCTGATATCATATAATTTACTGATTTTAGCAGGATTTTTCAGTTTTTCATAATTATATAATTTGGATTTTGTATAATATCTGCTGATGGCTATAATCTGAATTAATAGACATCTTAGTATAAAAATTTAAGAGTACTAAAAAGTTTTTGACAAAACTTAATAATATGAATACTCCTATGTTGAAAGGTCTTTATAATCAGAAATTAACCAGGCAACTTAGCTAAAAACTTATTTATTTTTTAATTTTTCTTTTTTTTAGAAATTAATATCAGGTTCATTAATTCTAAATGGTGTTAAAATTTTGTGATTAAAGGATTAATAAATAATTAAAAGAAAAGTATTGTGATATTGTCATTTTTTATTAACCTTTTCTATTGAAAGGCTACTTGTTAGAAGTAATTAGTCAACTCAAATGAGTTTAAAACAGTAAGTAGTTGTAATTTTAGTTAGATTTCTCATTTATATTTTTTTATTTTATTTTAATTGATATATTTATAATAATAAATCTAGTTAATAAACTTGTGGTAGTATCACATCATTAGAAGTAAAAAAAAAGGCAAATAATATATGATAAATCATATAAGTTATAAAATTATATAATTTTATATGCTAACTCAGTTAAAATCGTAACATCATATTTATCATTGATACCAAAGTTACCTAAACAATCCTATTTAAAAATTAAAATAAATAAGATTTTAAGCAAAACAAATTTATAAAACACTTGCTCTGATAAACTTTTATATAATCCTTTTATATAATCACTATCTTTAAGCTTTATCAAGCTAATAAGAACTTATTCTTTAGATTGAGAAGAATTTAAAAGTCTTTCATTCTTTGTCAAGAATCGGTTAGATTAGACTTGAAAAGTTCTTGCTGACTAAGGTAATGCTAAAATAATAAAAGATATTGAGTATCTTAAAATTCTTAATATATTAATTTAAATGTTTAAATAATAATTTTTAAATCAATATCTAATTACTGAATTAATAGTTTTATGTCTTTAATTTAATTCTTTTTTATGAGATTTCTTGTTCCTAAAAAAGTAATTTAATTATAATTAAATTTATTACAAAAAAGCAATGATGTTTTATAAAAATAACTTTTTCTGATATGATTCTCTAATCATGACATTTTCTGCTTGTTTAAGAACTTGTTTTATTGAATCAACTTTCTCTTTTAAAATGTTTTACTCGGATTGATTAACATCAATAAGTGATTGCCTTGTATTGATTTTTTCTAACTAAGATGCAAACTCTCTTTTCTTTACTTCAATTTAGTTTGAATAAACCTCTGACTTGCATTTGTTTAAAATTAAATTCTGTTACAATATAAAGAAGGTATTTACACATTTTAATTAAAATAAACGATTCATATTAAACTTCTTTTGATTTTTTCAAGTTCTCTTTCTTGAGTCTCTAAAAATATTTTCAAGCTCGTAAAATCTATAACGATCCTATAATAAAAAGCTTATTATATTTTCTTGAGTATATCTGTACATCAAAATAATATAAACAAATAAAACTTACTGTAAAAGTTGTTATTGTCACTTTCTTTTGTTTAAAAATTGTGTGTTTCTTTCTTTCTTCTAGATTAATATCTTCTTTCTCATAATTTGCTAATTCTACTAGAATTTCATTTGTTTCTTTTTTAGGTTGCTTATTAAATAAACACAATTATTAAATTAATGAAAATTTATTCATTTATAAATTATTATAATTATTTTACCTGAAAGACATTAACAGAATCTTTATATTTATCTTCAAATTCTTTATTATTCTGTTTTATCTGAACATGCTTTTCTTCTTCTTTCAGTTGATCTTTTAATTTATTCTAAGAATAAATAAATAAATTAATTACTATATTAAATTAACTTATCTGAATAAGTAATTAAATCTAATAACATACCACAGATATTTTAGACCCAATAAAAAATTTGATATAAAAATTCCATAAAAATATAAAGTTTTATAACATATAATTTTTATGGAATTTCAGT